CTTGAAAAATTTTTTCACTTTGTAAACAGAACTCGGTCAAACTGACGCGACAGTCTACTAATTAAAAATTTTTTTCTCGTCAAAAGCAAAAAAAGCTGTAACTTGTAGAAGTGCAATATATCTGTATCACTATCTGTAGAAAAATATTCAATCAGAGTGCGTCAGATAGACATTTAGGCAAAGTGGGTGATTAGCTACTTATCCTCCGGTAAAGTTTTGATATCTGCACAATTAAAACTTTTCAGTAAGCTATCAGTATCACATAATACAAGCAAGTCAATCGGTTTTTCACATTTTTTTCACTTTTACTTGTTTTTCTAAATCTAAGCGAAATTAAATTGTTCACAGCTTCAACTGTTACTACTGGTCTGTCAGTAAAATTTTAAGTAAAACAGGAGCACTTAACTCTAATGCTTTTTCAAAAAAAGTATTAGCAGTTATATGCTCAATAGTCGACTAAGCTGGCATAAAATAGTTCTTACTGGTCTCTAAAACATGGGCTACAAGGGATTGAATATTTTTCTACAGACTAAATGACAACAATGGTTTATCTATAACTGATTGTAATTTTTTTAGCTATCTGGTGTACCCAATTTTTATTGCTTTATTTTATTCCGTCTTAACATATCCGAGATTGATTGGGAAGCATATTATTGGAGATGTAAGTCAGTTAAACAGATAATCTCAAAAATTGCTAGTTTAATTAAAGGTTTTCATTTTTGTTTAGAATATTTTAGAACTATTTCAATTTTTCAAAATAGTGCTTTGTATTTATTATATATATCAATATATATTTGTGAACTTTGGAAATGATAATTAATTTTAATACACCCTTTAGCCTGTATACGGACATACACTTCGAGATTTTTTCATCAACTGCACTTGGCATTCGGGACAAAATTCATTTATATCCTGTAGTGAACAGTTAACATCTCGGTGGAGTACAGACGGTTCAATTTTCACTAACCTTGGCGTTTTCATTGTATCCTTCGTAGGTTACCTTTTCTGTTTCATGGTCATTTAGAATGTATAACGCTTCTATGTCAGTCTGTTTGACTGTTGCTATGTTGCCTTTAACATTTGGAAGGTGGTTTGCTCACTGAAATAAGTTGCAGTTTCTTCTCGACATCATAGCCAGTACATTACCAGTTCCGGCAGGAATATTCATGCCTGCGTTTGTTCTTGGCGGAGCGATTGGACGGTTTTTTGGTGAGGTGATAGCATACAACTTTCCAGACGGTGTTAGAGGAGACCAAAGCATGCTTGTTTACCCTGGTGTATACGCTGTAGTCGGTGAACAGTCTTCCCCTTTTTACCTTTGTTTTTTTTTATTAACCTTCGTCTTTGAAAATTTCCATACAAAAAAAAAATTATAAACCATATTTTAGGAGCAGCGTCGTTTTGTGGTGCAGTAACGCACACAGTTTCCGTAGCTGTTATTGCTTTTGAGATAACCGGTCAACTGGTTCACAGCTTACCTGTGATGGTTTGTGATTTCTAAACTTCCACTGCAGCATTAAATAAGTAGCATGATAGAGAAATCAATTGAAATTTTAGATAGCTGTTATAATTGCAAATATTGTCTGTTCATCGTTCCAGCCATCTTTCTTTGACAGCATAATCAAGATCAAACATCTTCCATACCTGCCAGATATTCCAAAATCGACATCTGAGTAAGCTGCGTTGTTTTTTTTTTGTTCTTAAAACCACTTCTTTTGCGTATATATAAACACAGTTTGTAAAATAAAATGCTGGAAAGGTACAGTAAGTGACCTGTAGCTTTTTTTTCCAGGATTCACGCTATAAGAGTTGAGCAAATAATGGTTCGAAATGTGAAATCGCTGAGTAAAAAAAGCACATACCGTGAACTTCAAGATTTGCTTATTAACATGCCACGCTTGAAAGCTTTTCCTGTTGTAGATGACCCAGGTAATTGTTTTTTTTGATAAAGTATGAACTGCTCTATAATCAGAAGTGAACTGTTGAGAAACTTGTTATTTTCAAAGTTTTATAGCTACAAATGTTTTACTGGGATCCATAAATCGTCATATATTACTACGAATGTTGGAAACAAAGGTAGGTGATGACGCCAGATGTGCCGAAGCATTAAGAAGAGCTCGAATTGAATTGCAAGTTATTGGTGTGGACGACGATGTCACAGAGGAGATTACAAGGTCTGTTTTGTAGAGTATTTACAGCATTGGCTACAGCATTGTCAAGCTGAAGAGTTGCGAAATTTCTTGCAAACATTTTCAAGATTTATTAAAAGAAGTTTTTATGCAGCTTTTCCACGAGATTCTAGGTTAAAGTTGGTACTCATACCTGTGAAATACTTAACACCAGATGTGCAGAAGCATTAAGGAAAAAGCTTAACATAAGTGACACTTCTGTACCTGCTAAAAAAATAGTAATGCTTGGTTTAACTGCAGGTTCACAGTCGTTCCTGTATATCTGAAAGATCGACGGGGTTCGGCTCTTATAGGTGACGGCAACGAGCTGGAACTTCCCCAGACAAATAATCTTTCAACTAGTTCCCTTTCAAAAGAAAAGTCTTCTGCAGGTGAAGACAGCCTTAATAAACAAAAGAGGGTCAATTCACTTCAAGACATTCGAACTGCGTCATCTTCTATGTATCTGAAACCTGACTACAATGCGGATGAAACGGGGAGTGAAGTTCGTCGTAAACGAAGTAGGCTTTTATCCGCCCATTCTGCTCAAGAAGTATACAGCACGCTTGGAGGTACGGACTATACCTGTTCAACTTTTTTCAGATATTTACGTAATTGGAGTTACTCCACTTATCGATTCAAAATTAGAAGTATTCCGTTTCATTGTTTTTAGATATGCTCCGTAACTTCACTAATAGTTTTCATCGAGGCCGAAATACAAAAAAACATGCCAAGGAGGGAGACCTTTACGGCGAGGAAGTTGGAACTTTATCATTTTTTTTGCATT